CGGGTGCGTGTTTGTGCATGCCGAAGATCCCAAGAGGAGAATGGAGGAGAAGGGATTGAGGCATGGCCATCCCTACTGGGGGGATGATTTCTTGCTTTCTATCTCTCTGACTCTTTCTTTCTGGTGAGTACACGCGCCTTATAGCAAAAAACCTCTCCAAAAAAAAAAAACAGTTCTTTTCAAACTTTAATGGGCAAATAACTTGGTTACTATGTTAAAATGAAGAAAATCAGTGGTCTGAGGCAGCCCAAGAGCTAGCATTTCTAGTATGCTTCCAGGAAATGCAGAGGTTGCTGGTCCAAGGGCCACACTTTGGTGGGGTGGGCCTTCAGAGTCCAGGGTACCTGCACAAGCAGTTACATGGGAAACTTCCTAAAGCTCTGATGTGAAAGTTTCACACGACGGTGGAGGAGTCAGATGAAGTGTCAATCCCTGGGAGATTTATTTTGGGTTATCTACTTGCACACTAAAAGCACCTAAAGAGGTGTCTTGCTGTTGTTGCTTTTGCTAGAAGACATGTGCCTTCTCTAGAGACAAAGAGAAAGGAGTACAGGAGAAATCATCCCCCATGGAGATGGTTACACCACAATCCCTTCGCCTCCACCTTTACTCCCTTTGGTATTTTAGACAAGCAAGCACATGTGTTTCTCATGCAGCTGGGTCTGGGACTTGAACTGTGTAGTTGGCCATGTGGGATCCAGCTGCCTTAACCATCAGGCCATGGTGCCAGCCCTTGCTGTATTTTAATTAGCAATGACTGAGCCTCATCCTCAGAGATCCTAATTCTCTCCTCTGGCATTCAGCATTGAATCACTTGAGAACTTAGACTCTGAGAATTTCTGGCCCTATCTCAGGCCTCCTGAACCAGACTGCAAGATCCCTCCTGCAAGTGCTTGGCTGTTGAGTGCCCAATGTGATTGCCTACATGGATGGGTTAGTGTCAATTTTTTAGAACTGATTATTTTTCCTTACCTTAATTCCTATCTCCAGTTCATGAATTCTTTGGTCCTCTTGTTTCTGCTCTACCCTCCATCCCATCTCCGTTGCAAAAGAGAGAACATGTGATTTCTGTAGGCTGATCCCACTGAATTTCAGTGTTATTAAAAATAATGCCTTGGGTTATAGATAGAGCTTCAATTTCTTAGAAAAACACTATAAACTCAAATACATATTTAACTATATTTGCATTAAAAACATCCTAAATGGGGGGACCAGCAGTTAGTGTAACTGCTATGTCGCTGAACTCCCATGGAGTCAACTGCGGTTCGTGTCCTAGACCCGGTGGCTTAAACTCATGCCAGGCATGTGTGCATGTGTGCCCAAGATCCCGAGAGGAGAATGGAGGAGAAGGGATTGCAGTGTGGCCATCCCCCCTGGGGGATGATTTCTCACTTTCTGTCTCTCTATCTCTGTTTTGCGAGCACATGCACCCTATAGCAAAAATCTCTTTAAAAAAAAATCCTAAATGAAGTAACATTGTGCAAATGCTGACAATATTGTCCAAAAAATTATGCCTCAGAATAGCCAAACCCTTAAGAACAGGATTGCACAGTTGTTCGCCCTTTAATGACTTCGTTAGGTTTACCTCTGTACCAAGGGAAATACTTTTGAAACTTCAACCTTTCAGTTGTTTTCATTAAAAAGTTTACATATTTGTAAATTGGTTAACAGCTACTGCTATGACTGTGGCTATTACTGGCTCTGTGATATGTGTGCTTAATATCATCTGTGGTTTTCTCTTCTATGAAGGCTGACTTTTCTGCTTAGCATTATACCAAATACCATTAAAATGGTCATTTCCATAATTACTTTTTAAAAATGTGAATCTTAGCAGAATAGGTTCCTCTAAGCAAGGGAAACTATATTATGCAGGCTGTGAAGATCATTATGTCATGATTCTGTCTTTCATCTTGTAACTTATATTGTGTGAGAGAAGGCAAATTTTGTCTAATGGTAGATTTAAATGTGTGGACCGTCCTGTCAGAGTGCTTGAGTTCAAGTCCCATTCTTGCCAATCACTAGAGGTAGTCACAACCTGAGTCTTGGTTTCCTAATTTATAAAATGAAGCTGCATATGGTTGGTGCCAGAGCCCAAGGGAGTCAGATCCCATATGGCCAATCATGGTTTGCACATCAGCCCTGGTGGCTTGAAAAACATGCTTGGGGCGGGGGCAGCCGATGGTGTAGTGGTTAAGTTGCTGGAGTCCAACATGGCCAACCACGGTTCGAGTCCCAGGCCCAGTGGCTTAAAAATCACACAAGGTGCATGTGCGTGTGAGCCCAAGATCCCAGGAAGGGAATGGGGAGAAGGAACTGTGGCATGGCCATCCTCCCAGGGGGTGATTTCTCAATTTCCCTCTCACTGTCTCTGTCTCTCTCGCTCTTCCTATGACCCTAAGTCCTCCAAAAAAAAAAAAAAAAAAAGGATAAAGAACATGCTGGTACAAGTGTGTGCATTCCTTAAATCCTGTCATAATAGAGAAATCGAAGAGAAGGGATTGTGGCACGACCACGCCCCATTGGAGGTTGCTTTCTCCTCCTCTCTTTGGCAACTGCACATGTCCTCTGGCAATGTGAAAAAGAAATGAAGCAATCTGAGAAGCCATTAACTGAGAAGATGCACATATAGCATGTCACTTCACTCCTGCCCAACGTGCCTTAAACGGTAGCTACTACGAACGCTTCTGTTCTTGTTCAGTTCAGCAAGTGTTGACATTTCCTATGTGTTTGGCCCTAGAAGTAAGATCATACAAGAGAGACCTAAGAAGCTAGTATATTTAGGAGTTTAGTAAGCAGATGCACAACAGAAACAGATAATTCCAAATTAAGGCAGAGTCCCATAAAGAACACATAGCAGATGGGTCCACAGGCCAGCCCTGCTATTCAGAAAAGGCATCCTCCAGGTGCCTGAGCCCAGGACGTGTGCTAGGCCAGCGTTACCAAGGCTAAGAACACATTTAAGAAACTGGCTCTGATTCTCCCCCCCTCCCCAATATGGGAGCTATTTACAGGTTTAAACCAGAGTAGTATCATGATGTACTTGCAGTTGAGAAACATCTTTCTGGGACTTTGTGAAGAACAGGCTGGAATGGGTAAGAGTCAAGGCAAGGAAACCAATTAAGAGGCTGTTGAGATAATCTGGGAGAGACTATGATAGAAACTAAATTAAGACTGTGTTAGCCAGATGGCATGGTGCTTAAGGTAGCTGGAAACAACATGACTAAGTGCACAGCTCAAGTCCTGGACCTGGTGCCTTGAATAATACACTGGGCACAGGTGCATGTGTGCCCCAAATCCTGAGAGGAGAATGGAGGAGAAGAGATCGTGGCATGGTTACCCCCACGCCAGGTGATTTCTCACTTTCTGTCTTCTCTCCAGTGAGCGCATACTCTCTATAGCAAATTTAAAAAACAAAATACCCCAAATTAAGACTGCTGGTAACAGAACAGTGATGGGGGATGGATTACAAAGAAGAATATTTTTGTGAAAATCATAGGACTATGTGATATTTTGGATGTCAAGGGGTAAAGAAGAGTTTAGGCAGAAATCTAGGATCAGGTTCAGAGAGAAGTTGGGGAAATAGACGGTGCTTTGAAAAAACTGGCACAAAAAAGATTGAGGACATTTTTGGACATATTGAGGTGCCTGAGGAAGAGCTGAATGGAAATGCTCATAAGAAAAATGAAAGTCCAGGGAAAGCGTATAGAAAAAAATGCCCAGAGGCCAACAATGAACCCTGAGAAATACCAGTATTTAAGGAGACAAGTACTCAGTGGAAAAAGAAAATACTCTCAGAAAGACAAGTAACGGGTAAAAGGAGGTTGAAGAGACTTAGGAACAAAGAGTGTAAAGGAAGGCTGACATTTAAGGAAGCGATGAACATCAGTCATATCTTGAGAAGTGGGTTGTGGATTCAGCCGCGTGTCCCTGTTGGCCATCACTAGCCAGAGTGATGGTGGTGGTGGACAGGCACTAGATTCAATAGGCAGAGGAGTGGAATGAAGACTGAAAATACTAAAAGGCGATGATTCTTTCTGGGAGTCAGCTGAGGAGGACAAAGAGAAAGGGGAGGGAAAGGTCTTCTAAAAATAGGAGTGGAGGAAAGAGAAAGGGGAGACAGGATCACTGAGCAGGGTCTAGGGAGACCGTGAGGAGGCGGCACACAGAAAAGACACCTCTTCTTGAGACTAGGCAAGATGGTGGGTGAGAAAGTAAGTTCCTCAGGCAAGGAAGAAGGCCGGTCAAAACAACAGGAAGAAGGTAAAGGAGGACTTAAGCTTGAAGAATAGATCATGTTTGTGTAAGTTAAAAGAAAAAAAAAAAGGCAAGCCCTTCCATTAGGCAACAGGCAACTATACTTTCCATAATACAGAGTTGGAACCAGTAATATTGTTGAGGCAATATGTATATATGCATATGGGAAAAAACTTAGTCATTATTTTTCATGCTAAATTTTTATTTCAATGTTATGCAACTGCATAAGTATAAATATTTGTTCAATATACAACAATTATGACATCCATAGGGAATTTCTTAGAGAAAATAAGACTGCAAACACTTTATTGCACAGATCCTAACAAACTTTTAAGCTGGTAAATCTACAGCCGGGTGTACTACCAAGGAGCACATCGTACAATCACACAGAGACGGACCGAATAGAACACAGGGGAATGTCTACCAGCTGATTGGAGAGGTTTACAACAACAAACGGGTATCACATGATGCAATCTTAAGTACTCTTTACTTGTCCAAAATGCAAAAACATATTTGGCAAAAATGATAGTACACTATACAAAATATACATAAAAATATCATTTGTAAACAAGCAGCTAGTTGTGCTTTAAAGGAAACTGGACAGTTAGAAAGCAAAGGCTGTAAACCATGAACTACCTCCCCGATAGACCTGTCTCAATGTCTGAGTGTAGAAGGTTCAGGTTATGACAACTGCCAAACACAGATCTGTATTATAAATGTTGAGACCACTTCTGAAACCCATTTCAGTTCTTGTAAAAGATTTGTTTCTTCTAGAGTTTAACAATGCAGTGATGGGGAATGGCTAAAACCAGGTGGGGAAAAAAATTAGGGGCACGGAAGAGACGTTTTTCCCTTTTTTTCTTTTTGCCACTGACAGCTCATTTTACAATGAAGGACAACCAAGAAGTCATTTAAGTTATGCCTTTGTTTACAGAGTCGAGTTACAGCCTTGCTAGATGATTTACAATCCACCGGGCTGTAAAATGATGCCCTGTTTAGATGAACAATTTTATAGCCTGAAGATACTAAGACTTCCCCGAGGGGGTTTGGGTGCTGAATTAGTTATTTATTGGTAATTTTTTCTCTTTAAAAAAAAAAAATGCAATCCTGCTATGGATCCCAAGCATCTTATAAATACTTATCTGTATTTTCTTTTAGTGTCTTAGTACATATGTCAGCAAGTGCCATCTTAAAATACAAAACGAGCCACCAAAATAACTGCAACAAAGGAAAACAAACAAAAATAAAAAATCCTCAGCACTAAAATGATTTGACAAATTCTATATATTCTGCGGTATACAAAATTTAAATAAGGCTTTGCAAAAGTAAAAAGGATGGTCACATTCAAGCACCAAATAGCTCCAACAAGTCTTTTTGTTACAAAAATGCTCTTTATTAATACAGTATATTTTTTGCATACAAATAAAGAGATCACGTTATGAAATGTCCGGAGCTACTCGATGCATCAGAAATGAATGTGAAACCCAAGAACTTGCTAAAAACAGCAAGCTTCATCTACGACATAAGGCCCCAGCTAAGTATTAAAATGTATCTGATGTCCTGATTATTCCTTAATATATATGCTAGATGCCCAAATCCACCCCCCATTCTTTTCCTCAAAAAGCAAATTTGAAACCTCTTCCAATGCCTGGTGCTTATCAGTCAACGTAAGTATTAGCAGATTTGTGTGCGGCCAGTAATTTTCCTTTTGATTCAAGAGGAGGGCTGGTGCAGGACTGCTACAAAACGTGTGCTTCTTGGACTAGTCCCTCACAGCAGAAGGCCTGAGTTTAAGAGCTTGTAAAGAAGGAAAAGAAAGAGAACAGAACTAAAGTTGACGTGTGTTTATAGTCCCCGCTCTACTTTGGGTGAAGACCAGACATACACACTCAAGACAAGGACAACTGGCCTTTCAGTCAGTTGGACCCGGGATCAAAATGCCCATTGGGGTAACCTTAAATGACAACGGCGAGCTCCATGTGTCCTGGCCATTCCCCAATGGAGGAGGATTCCCAATGCAGCAATTAAGAGTAGCTCTTGCTTCAGATCTGGAAATATAGGTAGCCAGATACAGTACTATCAGAAACTCCGGTTAAAAATGCACATAAAAACGCACAATCTACTATATTTAGGGATTTCTTTCATCTTTAACTCTACGTAGAATGTTTTAGCTTATAAAAATGGAGCCTTGAAATAGCCTCTTAAACCAAAGGCCAACACATAGAGGAGGCTGTGTATATACATGAATGTGAGTGTATCCATAGTTTTCCATATGCCCCATTTTGACCATTTTGCTTTGTGACTAAATTATGGTAAATGGTAAAGCAATAATGTTATTGAAAAAAGAAAGCTGTGGTAAACGACGCAATCAGCAGCAAGGGATAGACTCTACATCCAAAACCAAACACGTTGCTAGATATTTACAGAGAAAATCTTTTTCCTTAACAACCCTCAACTGTATTTCTTTTTCCATACAAACACTATCTGGTAACAGTTTTACCGGTTATTACTGGGAAGGCATCTGGAAGAAGGTCCCCTCTTTCTCTCTCTCTCCCCTTCCTCAATGAGGCTTCAAGCTCTGCCTGGCGGACATCCCACACAGTGCTGGTTTCAAAAGGTAGTTAGTCATGACAGTTACACATTCAGGCGGGTCTCCACTGTCCTGCCCCACTCCAGGGCCTGCCGCTTACGAGGCCTTTTTGTGAGGACTGCTCCGCGAAGTCTCTTTCCCCCGCCTCTGCCGTACCACGAAGTCCTTCTCAGAAGAAAGGGCGATGGGGCGGTCAGTGTTTGGAGCTGGGGATGGCTTGGCCCCCTCTCTGCCCACACTCTGTTTCCTGGTTGGGGGAGGCTGGGCGAGGCTGGGGTCTTTCCCTTTGGTGTCTCCCACTGTGGCAATTACGGAGAGCGCTCCGTCCCGGCAGCTGGCTGCGCCCAGAACATTTGGGTCAGGGTGGTGGGGCTCCAGGGTGATGGTGGAGACCCGAAAGGATGGTAAAGAGTCACTCTTGGGCATTTGGGTTCTGCCATCCCCCCCAGATTGGGACTTCCAATGGTCCCTGCTGCTGGAGGCTGGGAGCTCAAGTGTGCCCCCGCTGGCTTTGGCAGAAGAGGTGTCACCATTGGCTGTAGAGGCCTCGCACGCTCTGGGTCTGGCTTCAGGGAAGCTGGAGGAGGAGCTCAGGGTCTTCTCGGGGAGGGTGGCGGGTCGGAAAGAACTCTGCCCAGTGACCGAGGGCGACCGTTTCATGTTGCTGGGTTTGCCGGCCTCAGTCAGCGGCTTCTGAGAGCCAAGTCCTTTACCCTTGGCATCTGGGAGGCCCTTCCCGACCGCTGCGGCTGGCCGCTCAGAGCCTTTCGGCCGGGTCTCGCCCTGCACCGGAGGGCTGGCCTCTAGCTTCCCACCCTCTGCTGGAACATAAAGTGCTTCTGTGCATCGCTTCCCTTCGGACCTCCTGTCACCAGAGGCGGCCTGCTGGCTTGGGCTTTTGTCTGCCTGCTTGCTTGGCGGGGGGTAATCTTTCACAGTGGAAGGTTTGGGGTGCTTTGGAGACAGATTTTGCTTTTCACTGACAGTGGGAAGTTTCTGGTCTACTGCCTCCCTGACCGCTGGGTGCCCTGGCCTGGGAGGATGCCCAGGCTTCCCCAATACCTCCAGGGGATGTCCTCCACTGCCAGGTTTCCCCTTGGCATCTGGAGGACCCCCTTCAGGGTGTGGGAGCACCGAGGGCCCACTTTCTCCCTGGCCAAACGTGTGGCTGGCTTTGTTCTGGAGACCTGGGATGGCAGGGGGCACATCCGGCACGCCCTTACTGTGGCCCTTCCCCTCCTGGCAGGAGCCCCCGAGGGGCTGCGTGAGGGGCTCTTTGCCCTTGGCAGCCCCGCTGCTTGGCTTCTGCGAGGAGAGGGACCTGTCTGGGTGCTTAGACTTTGGTGCACCTGGGTCAGGGCCAGGCTGGAGCTTACGGCTGCTGCTTTCACTGGGGACAGAGGCAGGCTTGAGAGAGTCCTGAAGGCCCAGGCTGGGTTCTGCAGCAGCAGGCTGGGGCAGTCGCTCTCCGCCTGGAGCGTGGCTGGGGGTACGGCAGTGCTGCTGAGCAGCCGGGCTGGGCAGCTCTTTGGTGGGTGGTGAGGGCTGAGGGCTACCACCAAGATGCCTCTGTGAGAGCTGTTCTTTCCTCTCCAGTTCCTTGGGACCATCTTTCTGCAAAGATGGGAAGCCGGAGAGCTTTTCACTCTTGCCACTCTCAGCCCCGGGATGCGGCACAGATGGCCTGGAGACAGGGGCTTGGGCCAGGGGCTCCTCTCTGTTTCTGGCCTTGCCCGGCTCCTTCTCACAGGCAGGCGTGGATGAACGCAATGAGGCGTCCTCCCTAGCCAGTGGCTTTGCCTCCTCTTGGCCATCTCTGTGGTTTGCTTTCCCACACGGCCCCCACGCTTTCTCCATGGCCTGGGTCTGCGTGTACTCTGGGTGTGTCCTTCCGAAAGAGGGGAGGCTTTTGGAGTTGTCACTGGTTTTAGCAGTTTCTGGAGGGTACAGCTCCAGAGGCTGGGCTCGATGTAGCTCAGCCCTGGAGGCAGAATGCTCGCTTCTGGCTGTGGAAGGACCCCTTTCGGACAGCTCCTTCAGGCTTGGCTTGTCCCTGGAGGGGGTCCCTTCAGGAGGGAGTGAGCCATGTGGCCTGGCCAAGTCAGTCTTGTGGAGATCCTGCCCTGGGCAGGGCAGCAGCTTGGTGTCCATGGCATGGTCTTGGTGTTTGGTGGGGCCACCCTCCTTCCGTTGAGGATTGCTTTCCATGACTATCACCGGGCTCCTGGCAGCAGAATGGGGAACTTTCCTGTCCCGTTTTGGCTCCAGGTCTGGCAGGGGAGCTGCTGGGGAATTCTGGAGAGCCCGGCTTGGGGGCAGAAACCGGGGCTCAAGTAGGTAGGATTTATTCATCTTTAAGCTGGCAGGGGAAGACTCTCTCAGACTGGCAGTTTCACCCTTTTTCACATTGCCACTGGGAAGAGCTGGTGGCACAGAGGGCCCCACATCACTGCCCGGGCTGGGGCTCTGTGCAGGTTCCGGTGAAGGTAGCTCCATCTTGGAAGCCTGAGGTCCAGAGAGGAGTGCAATGTCCAACGTGCCCTCAATGGGCTTCAGGCATGACACGGACCTGCCTTCCAGCTTGTACTCAGAGGGGCTTTTTCTGACAGGGGACTCTGAAGCAGCCAGGCCCGGCTTCTCGGCTCCACTGTCCACCCGGCCAGCAAGAGTCTTGAGAGGAACAAAAGAAACAGCGCCCATCTGCGCTCCGTGGCTACTGTTCAGAAAGGCTCGGACCTCGGAGGCTGGCGGGGGCTCCTGCTGCCCACCCACAGACCGGGTGGGGTTTCCCGGCAGGCACTCGTGGCCACCAGGCGCCATCTTGGGCTTCAGCACCGGGCAGAGACTGTCGTCTTTGTCTTCCAGTGACATTTTCTTGCGGAGGTAATCGATATTGGCCAGCTTGCTGTCCAACTTCTCACATCGGAGAAACTCCTTGCCCTGGGAGGTTTTCTCTGCACTTTCGCCCTTCCCGGAGGTGGACCTGTCTGTGGAATGACAATGACCATCCTGGAAATGGATAGGAGCAGGGGCCCGTTTGAAGTCGCTGGTGCCCTCTCTGTGCTCGCCAGGCGCAGGGCAATAGTTGGCTGCGACCCCGTCCAAGGTGCCCCCCTCACTGGCCCGGGCGCTGGCCTGCTTGTGAAGAGCGGCTTTCAGGAG